TCTTAGCTGGTACAGCAATGGGGCTTCGTGATGATGATGATGATGATGACAAGAAGCAGTGGATTTATAATTAGAAATACACCGGAGAAACTGACCGTATCCAGGCGTGTTTGTGTAGTTGTTGCAAAGTGGATTGTGATGTCACGCCTCCTCTCGATTCCCTGCTTGTTGAGTGTGTTAGCTGCTCACTTGGCTCTGTGACATATAAGAAAGAGACAATCTGAGAAGTGAGCCCTGGCACGGTGGCTCAGTGGGTCTTTGCCTGCCTCGCATCGGCTTCTGTCTGTGCTTCGCTGCCAGAAAAATCTGCTGCGGTTTTGAGGCGATATATATTCTATCTGGCCTCTTTGGCTCCACCGCACTATGCAATGGAAAAAGAGCACACTATCCAGAATGGCTTTGAGATGTAATTGAACCGTAATGCCTCTTATGTGAGGATTTTGCAGAGGAATGAAGATCTCGCTTGACGAATGGGCCCGAGAAAACAAACTGGCATGTCTGAGGGGTGAAGTGTAGAGTTGGGCTACCGACTCGTGAGCCTGTTTCTTCAGTCTGACTGGAGAAGATTGGGGGAAAAAAATCCAGTCATTTGTCTGCTGACATTCAAGGCATTTCTATTATATCCCTGTTGATTATTTCCATGCCCTTTCCAACATCCTGCAGCCTGTAGTATTTGTTTCCTTAGATCCATCATAGGTGGAGCTATTTCTGCTCACCGGTTTCACAGAGACTGGGTGATGGATCGTTTTGGGATTTGATGGATGCTGAAGTGCCCGCTGCACCTCACCAAACTTCTCATGAGCTTTCTGCTATTGAGAGCTGGGCTTGTGCCAAAGTGAAGTGTTCGGCTTAAAGTCTCAGAGTGGCCAAAGAAGCAGTTCATTACCTTTGAGACAACTGGGTTTATTATACATAAATTCTTCTCAAATTTGTGTTTATTTTAACATATATTTAAAAAAACTGCTTGTCATGAGGTGTTGAACACTCCGTCTCACCTTCTGTCTCCAGACTAATCGTGTGTTAACCGTGAGGAGAGATTACAATGGGGTGCACTTGGCTTGTTATCACTTGTCATGCACCACCTATCACATTTGCAATTACACCGCTACGTTTTTGTTTGATTTGAAGAGTCGATAAATCATCAGCAGATAAAAAGCAGCAGAGGTTTGACGAGCTGTCGGACACTTTGTAGTGTGACAGAAGAGATAGGAAATCAGTTTACATCTATGTAAGGACTCCCGTAGGGAGAAATGTGCCTTCCTTTCCCCCGTACGTGACCCCTGTCGGCCGTGCCCACAACCACTGACACACAGCTTGTGGCTAATGTAGCAGCATTAGGATAGGTCATGTAGGTTCAACCCTGTCAGGGGATGTCTAACTGGTCTT